AAAGGTCGGAAAGAGACAATGGGTCAGAGGAACTCTGCAAAAGAGTGGATAAACGGCTGAGATGTACGTGAGAGCCACGGGGGAGGAAAAAGTGATAGATACGCAGGAGACGAAGCGGGGTGAGTGTGGTGCCAGGGCAGAGAGACATACAGTGCGGAGGGACATAGAGAACATGGGTGAGGTCAGGGGAGGAAGCAAGGTACAGGAAACAGAGACTGGACGGATGCACGAAGAGAAAATGGCCGAGGAAAACGCATAGTGTAGGATGAAGTCAACGGAGATGCGAGGAGGGGAAAGGAGGCGGCCAAGGAAAAAGAAGAAGGAGGGTAGCAAAGAGCGAAGGAAGAAGGTGGCAAACGGATGGAATCCCATGCGGAGTCGGTGAATGTAAGCGAAAACATGGGCGTGTGAGTGGCAGCGAGGTGGTGGCACCATTATGGTCGCGTAGGCGGAGGTGGGTGAGTTAGGGAAAAGACTTAGTGCCCGGTGAATGACCGCAAGCACAACATGATGTCGAGAGGGGTAGATCGTTCAAGGCGGGGCATGAGGGGCGACAGCAAGTGCGTACGAGGCCAATGAGGTTCGACCAGAAAAACCGACCGGGCTGCAGGGGAAACCGCAACGTGAGGCGCAAGCAAAAAAAAGCGAGAAAGGCGCAACGCAAGAAGGGAATGTCAACAAAAAATAATAACAATAATATTTAACAATAATTAACAACAATAATAACAATAATTAATTATTGTTAATAAGTTAACAATTTAAATATTTTTAAATTTATCTCATTATCAACATAATTTTTTTTAAGATTTTGGACTGAAAGGATTAAAATATTCTTTCCCATTCAAAATAGTTTTTATATAAAATAGTCTCTTCCAAGATTCTAGTTAAAATTATTCAATTAAATGCCATCCATCAAATACATTGCACTCTCATATGACTTTTATTCATTCTATTGTGTTCGTCCATTTATGCATCTAAAATCTATGCTCCATATTTTTAGAATAAATTCTGTTGATAACTTGTATACCAACCTATTAAACTCGAATGAATAAAATCACATTCATAAATACTTTTGATCGCGTGATATTTAAAAATAAACACCTCTAACGATAATTCACAAATGACTTTATTTTTAGGGAATAAATAAAACATTTCTGACACATTAATTTCCTAAGAAAGGTAAATACTTGACTTTTGAGTGAAAAGAAGTGTATAACTTTGATAATCACAAGAATAAAAGATCCATCTTAGTTCCTGATGTAGTTCGCGTCAGCTTACACGCAATGCACGTACACTAGGTCTAGTAGCTTGAGGTAAGTACGCATTAAATATGCTAATGTAATATATTACAGATGCAGAAAGTGAATCAACCATATTATAGTCAGGCACTCTGTCCGATGCCATATCACGTACTTTAGCGTTATTACCGTTGAATATAAATCTTAATTTTAACATTTTTTCATCATATCTTAAATTAAAGTGATGCTTGATAAAAAAATAATCGATTATAATATTATTTTTTGCTCTTTAGTTACAGTATTTAGCCTTTTCAAAACGTTTTCACACTAATTACGAAAAATAACACTCATTAAAACTAATCAAAGGATTATTTTACTTGTCCTTCGTACAATAACAGCTGTAATACTGTACTGAAGGAGTTCAAAGTTCCCAGGGTAAGTTGTTCCGATTAAAATAACTCTATAAAAAAAAAAGATAAATATATCGAGTAAATTCGTCTAGTCGTAAAACAGAATATTACAGTGCACCGTCAGTCGCCATTTTGGTTGGGCCAGTTGCATCTGATGCATTGGAAAGTAAATACATGCTCCAAGCCGGGGCCATACCAAGGCTAAGCAAAATTGGACCTTTTTAGAGTAAGGAAAATCTTATGGCAATCGTATATACCTGAAAAGTAACTAGAATGAAGATTGTTCAGCAATGAAAAATTAGTTGTAATTATGAAAAACGTTGCATATATTTTTAGATTTTAATAAATCAAAACAAATGCTAGAGCCAATTTTATTTGTCTAATTATTAGGTTGAATTTAAACCAAAATTTTGACTGGTTTTGAATTTTTATCATACGACTTTTTTTTTGAGATTATTAATGCTCTGTTAAGTTGGATCAAAAAAAAAAGAATATAAGAAATGACCCGTTTTTTGTTTTTTAAGATCTGAGGTGTATTTTGTTAAAGAAACTAATGCTTAGGTTTTTAAAAGGTTGAAAAACTCACACTTGAAACTTTGGGAATGTTATTTTTAGCAATGTTTTTTTTAACAATTTTTTATCCAACGAGTTATCCTAGTTTGAAGTGACGCCTTTGTAGCTTTATGATTCGATTACTTTGAAATAAACTCGAATACTTTGAGAAGGGAAAAAACTTTAAATGTGTACTTTCTAACACCATTAGAAAAATGTTACTGTGATTTTTCTTTTGAAAATTATGGAATAAAAGAAAAAGATTGATTTTACTCTGTAACCGTATTTATTGGTGTTTGTTTCTTTGTTATAAATAATGTCAATATTGCTATTAATGTAGAGTTGTAAATTAAATTTTGACATATTTATTTGCAAAATCAATATGTAATGTAATATTAATATCAAAATATTTCACCAATAAAATAAATAACAAATTTTCTTATTATTAATATTAATTTTATGACCAATAAAATTTTATGATAGTATTTAGTGTCAAAATTAGACATTTTATGTAGAAAATTACATTTTTATGAAACACGTCGGTTGTATAAACAATTTCATCTAAATGCAATAGGAAAAAAAGCTTTGTAGTTGTAACAAGGTTGCTAATTGGAACATTTTCTTCATTAAATGTCGCTTCAAACTTCTCTTAATTCTCATTCGCTTGAATGAAAATAGTAAAAATACACAATAGAAGACGAAAAGTGAAAAATAAAAAACTTTGTCATCTTTAATTTTTTTTACTTACAATGAATTTCTATTATTATAAACAATATACGATTGTTTATTCACATAAAATTTCTAATAACAATATTTTATTGTTATTCATCGAATATAATCATAATCATGATGATTCAATAAATAAAAACCATTTATAATTATTTATAACTGATGGAAATTTTTATAAACAATATATAATTGTCTAGAGTCAATTATTTTACAATCTTTTTATCATAGAAAAAAACGGCTGTACCGAATTTGTTTAAACTCCTTTTCACGTCTTCCTCATTGTATCATCTTTCAAATGAAATTTGTCTGGAGTTGATATCTTTAGTAGTTCTCGAGATATCGAAAACGAAAAAAACTCGGACATACATACGTACGAATATACGTACGGACAATTTTAGGTAAGTACGTTAATTTATTTTTAAAATGATTGATATATTTTCAAATGTCTCAAAACGTCAAGAAATGACAAAATTACGAATTTAAAAAATTATTCCGATTACAATAACTTCCTAATGGGAAATTAATAAACGTACAGTCTACCTTCTGTACAATCAATCTTATCCCTGAATATTAAACGAAATTGAACATGAAAAAATTTTCAAACGTACTTCAATATGATAAAACTCTTTCCCTTTCTATTTTCTTTTCAAATAATTCAGTAAAAATCATCACAAATCAATGATTATTCATCGACCTATAATACCAAGCTTATTACTGATTGAACTAGTGATTGACTTGGTATTGGAAAATAATAAATAATCACTAGGCAATTCATTTTTAGAAATTATAACAATATTTAAAAAATTCTCAACATTTTTTTCTTCTCTTTAGAACCAAAATCTCAAAAATCACCTCAGAATCAGTGAATTTAATTATTTTCAATAAATAAAAAATAAAAAAACTACGAAATTATAATTTAAAATAGTTATTTTTCTACCTCATTGTATTCTAATCAAAAGTACTCTATTATCACTTAGACTCAACAATAATTATTTAATTGGATTAAATTTCCTGATCATGATCAAAGAAATGTTGATGAATATGGCGTTAATAATTTTTATTTAAAACATCAACACTTGACTAAGCGTTCATAATCAAGCGTGTTAAGTTTTGGTTATAATCTACAGGTATGGGGTTTGAGTTTTAATTAGAATGAGAAAAATTAGAACAAAAATATATATATATCTGTATAGATAGAAACCAAAATAAAATTATTATAAATAACTATTATATTCATTTATATGTTAATAATAATATAATAGAGAATGGTGTGCAATTGAAATGAAATAATAATAATCATTTAATTTCAACCGCACAATATTCTTTATCATATTGACATGCGATCAATTAATACAAGAAAATTTAAAGTTATATTCATAAACTGGTTGAATTAAACGAAAACAATTTGAAATTAAAACAAATAAATATCAGAGATAGTAAGCAATACAAAAACTATCAGAGATAATAAAATAATTGTAACTACGAAGAAGAATACTATCACAAATTCATTTGAAAGTTATATCAAGGTAATATCATTTTATGCTATGACATCGTTTTCATCCCCATCCCTTCCTTTTATCAGTAAATAGGTCAATTAAATGTATGTATATATGACATAAAAGCATTAGAATGTTTCAATATTTGTAACTATATCTGTGTTGACAAATGATTCGAAAAAAAATTATAGCACATAAAAAAAAAAGCGAGTTCAAGTGCTTACAAGAGCAAATCAAAGGTCAAGAGTTGTAGTGCTCTTATAAACACCCTTCAGTAACAACGTATTCTTGCTTAACAATGTAAAGAAAATATCTATAAATTCAATTCTCCACTATTTTTTGTTAATATTCAAATATTCAGTTTGATACTAAAACTTTTCAATGCATTTTAGAGTCATTTGTTGATCAACATACAGGAGAAAACATGCTCTATCATTGGAGATTGATAGAATAAAATATTGAATTATTAGTATTTCAATTAATAACACAATGTAAATGTGAACTTTTATGATAAGCTGAGTTTTGAATAAAATTTTTTGTCATATGAACATAAAAAAATAGACTGCATCACTTACATTCGGTGAGCGCATGAGGAGTTGACCCCAAGATGTCATGGGTTGATTGACCCCTGCGCGATAACACTGCACTATCGATTTTAAGTCCACGTGGTTCATTGCACTTTATTTCACTAAATTCTATTTTTCATGTAAATAAAATCATTGAATGTTCACCATCATATAAATAAATGTTCATATATTATGTCATAAAATTATTATACATTAAATAAAAATAAATAAAAATTTATTATTTAAAAAATTGTCAATTGAAAGAAAAGTAGATTTTAAAATAGTTTTTTGTATTTAAGAATTCCTGTCAATTTTATATATCATATATAAAAATTAATATCAATCGTCTATTTTCATTCTACCCTCAAGTGGAATAAGTGTGCCTGATGTGGAGTTCTCTAAACGAATGCTGTTCATCTAGGGAGTTCTACATGTATTCGTAAATTTTCGTTTCTTCTCGGACAATTCCGTAAATTAGTTGGTATCATTGTAAAAATATTTTTTTATTTTTCTTTTATACGATTCGATACAAACTACTTTAATAGTTCAGTATCAGTCATTAATTTTCATTCATAAATAAATAAGAAAAAGTTTTAAAAGTGTGCTAATGTAATGGATCAATTGATCATCTGTGATTATTTAAAAGCTAATTAATAATAATTAATGTTACACATTCTAAAAAAATATATATAACAAGATTGATTAAATTCATTTTAAAAATCATCCAAGTAACAAAAAAAAAAAACAATTATCATTCTCTAACATATCAAATCTCGTAAATTACTGATTTCATTCGACTCACGTTAATCGTTAATGTTTCAATAATCAAGTTAAAAAAAATATATATATCTAATGATTCTCTTGAGATATTTTATCCTTAAACTTCAGAACATTTTTTGCCTTCCGGGAGCTGAAATTACATCCTTAAGATCGAGTAAGATTCTATCTATGATGATCATTCGAATTTATAAATATCATTTATCGTGATACAATAATTTAGATCTGATCTAGAAAATTATTTAAATACTAGCATTAATTTTATATAAATATCTCGAAATCATTTAATTTTCTTATAAAGTAATATATCAGTCAAATTTTTAACAGTTTTATTTGTTTCACTCAATAATTTTAGAAGTGGTATCATTCGATTTTCATCTGACACTCCACTTTTATTGTGTTACGAGTTAGATTTCGGTACGTTTAATTGTTGATGGCTAAAAGGATTGTTATAATTTTTTTCTAGTTGAGTCATATTAGTAAAGAAGTATTGAATATAAATGTTACTATTATTTATAAATCATTTTAAAATGAATTAATTTTAATTATATTCTAACTTTTGTTATTTTGTTTATAATATTATATTTAGTTATAAAATTTAATATATTATTCAAAGTATCTTTTTCAGGAAATAATTATCCTTATACAGAACAATATTATAAAAAAACAAAAAATTATTACAACATTGAGAGATATTTAGAAAAACTATTTTAAATTTAAAAAAAACCCTATCTAACTTTGCCAAACAATGGATTAGAAAATTTTAAATAAAAATATATACTAAAAAAATTTAACATCGTTTTATATGGCGTTTTGAGATCTTTTATTCATCAGGTAAACATACAAAAGGAGTATGTATTAAATTGTCATATGACAGTTGATAACATATTCATTAATTAAACTTATGGTTTAATTTGTAATTAATATGATTTGTGTGTGTTTTTTTTTCTCATTTTATACAAATAAACAATTGCGAGATAAGCAAGCGAATCTCACTCAGCAATTTTGTTCATATAATATATAACTTGAACATTTTTTTTTTTACATTTACAATTGATTATGAAGTCAAATTATATAGAAATTATACATATACGCGTATTATTACAATTAGATTATAATAATTTATATAGATATAAATATGCATCTTATTACATATATTCGCATATGTATATTTATATATACTATCACTACATACGTCGATTGTAATTTGTTTATGATATAAATATGATTATTTTAATCATATAACATTAAAATAAGATGTATTTTGACGCGCATTAAGGTGTTATGTTTTATTCATTAATAATTATTTATTAATTAAATTTTTTTAAAAAATTAATTTAACTTATAATTCGTCATTTTTTAGTATTTTATACTTTTTCTTCTTTTTATTTACGCATCCATCATAGAGGGCGTGAAACAATTAAAATAAAAAATGAATTGAGTTTTTTTTTTTTAGTAAATAAAAAAAGAATACAACTAACGATATTCTCGCATTGACACAATGCGAAATTTCAATTTTAGATCAAAAATATTCTGTGGATGAACGACATCCGATTTAATTGTCATTATATATAGTAGGACCATGATATTTAATACCAAATATTTTCAACTATTTTTGCAGATAACTTTTGTTCTCGTAATATTCGACTAATAAAATGAACCTTTTTTTCAAAGTAAAAATACTAATAATCAAGAAGTAATAGTCTTTTCTTAATAATTACAATAATTACTGAGATTTTATTTTTGTTCATAAGGAATAAATTTTAAATGAATAATTACCAATTATTAAAAATTAAATACCTTTTGATTATAGGTAATTTTACTGAACTAAAAAATAATTTGTTCTAATTGAATTATTTTTATACTCCGTGACGTTACTCCTTGATTTACAGAGATAAATTTTATAAACAAATTTTAAATAACACAAATGATATAAGATTATTTTTTCGTGTGAAAGTCCTACTGCATATATAATTAACACACAATTTTGTAAAAATCATGTGACAGCGTGAATAAATATATATATATTATACACATAATATTTTAATCTACACACACACACACACATCTATGTATATATAAATATATATATATACACATTATTGAGGCTATGGAAATTTATAATAAAGATTTATCTCTCATATAGAGATACGTTCCAGTCACTCATTACTATTATGTATTTAGCAAACATTTCATTGTTACGTACTTGGTTATTCGAGACATTCTATTTATACAAAATTCATATATAATTTATTATTCATATTAATCGACTTTAATATTACGAATTAAACATTTCTCTTAAAAATTAGTGCGTTTTACAGTGCGATATAAAAATAAAGAGCTTAATTGTAAAGAAAATTCAACTTTTCGATGAATGATAAAATATTTCCCAGTTTTTTCTGTTAATTTTTTAAACACTTTTTAGATTATTTATAAGTTTAATTCTTTTTCTTTTTATTATTTACTGATTATTAATATTTACAATAATGATTAAATTATTCATGAAACATCTCATTTTACAAATTTTACCAAAATAATTAAGACTTCGTGTAAATGTTTTTGCGTTTTAAGTAAAACAGCATTCATCAGTTTATCAAGATAAATAGTAATTTATTTTGTTCAAGTTAAAATAATTGTCATTGATTTATTTTTAACTTGGCTTAAAAAAGTTTTATCAATATTTTTCTGAAATCCACTTCCAATTATGTATATAAATGTATTTGGAATTATTTTTTATAACTTTTATTTATAGTGGTCTTTTAAATATTTTTTATAAAGTGAATATTGCTTTTTGTCTTTTGTATTGAAAGTGAAAAAACATTATTTAGAACGATTGTTTTCTGATTGCCTTACAGTCATATAAATCATAATTATATTTTTATAGAAAAAATAAGTTCTTGTGAATATTTTAAATAAATATACAGTAATGAAATACCAAATTTTGATCTGTAATAAACAAAAAATAAAAATTTGGACACACTCATACATATATATGTCGTATCACAGCATGATTTGTTACCGTTTAATAAAAAAAAATATTAATTTAATGTTTTGTTTAAGCTATAAATTAACAAAATCTTCCTTCAGTTACCAAATGATACTTTAGCCATAAATGTATGTGTGTGTATATGTGTGCATGTGTGTACATACATATAATAAATATATATAATCTTGATATCCAATTGAGCTTTAAATTCAAAAATGATTATCGATCATTAATTGTGCGATTTGCAAGACACTAATCTAACAATAATATTTTAACTGTTAATTTTAATGATAGAGCTCAATTATTGCAAATATTTTACAATATTTTCATTATAAATCACACTTTTTTTTTCATTCGTTCACTCACTTTGTAATTAATTACTCCTAAATATCTTTAAATATATTTCCATTCAACTGATAATTCTACGTATTCTTATTTAATATTTTTTTGTTTCAATTTTGTTGCTTAATTAATTTATGACCATTTCATTCACCATTTAATCATCACTCATTCGTATAAATATACCCATAATAAGTACCTACTAAATTATTCTTAAGCATAACAATCCTAGGCCGTTAACTAAATAATAATCTCTCTCACAGTCGAGATATATCATAAAGTTTATCCTACACAATTATTTTTAAAAAAACCAGAAAAAAAACTCAAAGATATTAAATAGGTATTTTTATTAGTTTTTAATTTTTTTAACTTTCAGTAGTACGTGAATAGCAGCTACACATTCTTTTAAAATTTGGTCAATTCAAAAGAATAAAAATTGAATTAATTATTATAATTACAAGACTGAATGTTAAACATTATTTTTTTTGTTGTAAAAATCAGAAAAATAGCTTTGCATAATTAATATGAACATCATCATCATTAATATTCCAGATATGTACAATTGTTAGTTTTTAATATATTTACATATAATAAAATTAATTTTTAATTTTATTTAATGATTATAATTTGCAAAATTTTCGTGTATATTTACAGTGTAAGTTAAAAATTTTTTTTAATTAAATTATTATGATAATAAGTTTTGGTAGTAACGTCAGTGAAAAATTCTATTTATCAATTAAATGACATTGATTATCAGATGAAGACAATTATTTTTTGGAGAAAGAAGGGGGAGGGGGGGGAGATTGTTTCTAATGTTTTGTCCATAATACACATGGAATTATTGTCTTATGAATAGATATTTTCAAACATGAAATTTTGACATGATAAAAAGTAAAAAATAATTTATTTTAACGTAAGAAAGACTTGTTAAAAAAAATCAATAAAATTTTATCTAAGATATTTTTTATAAAAAGTATAATTGTCACCTATTCTTTTATCGTTTTAATTTTTCCATATTATAATTGAATTAAAGAAAAAAAATTGACATCACTCATAAATTTATTGCTACAAAAGTATTGGTTAAATTGAGCCAAAAATAAATGTACACTACATGCATACATTTATATAAAATTATTTTATGAGTTCATTCACATCCTTTTTTTTTCAATTTTTATCTTCTTACTAAATTAATTATGGAATAATAAAACATTGACTACACGGAGAAAATTTCATAGCACTTTTTGTTTAATTACTAAAAATTGAACTAAATAATTTTCTCCATGAGAAGTTAAAAAAAAAATAATGTAAGTGATAAATTAATTGAATATTGAATAGATTAAAGAATTGTTCATTTATGATAATTCATTTTAATTATTATTATTACCCGTTAGCTATGGATTTAAAAATTGTTATTACTTTTCATGAATTTTTTGTTATTTTTAACTTTAATTAATCACTCAGTATGATTAATAAATGAGACACAAATAAATATCAAAGAGTACGAGTATGTCTAATTGACTATTCGTTTTAATTTTCAATTTAATTGAATAAAAATAAAAATATATTGTTTCAGAAATACTGTCTATTATACTTAATGACTTACTTGAATGATTTATAACTCTGTTATTCACAACAGTATTTTGTTTGAAAAATGCTACAGGAAATTATATCACTCAATTTAATAAATTCACAAACGTTGAATTTTTTTTTCTGTTTAATATAAATAACTAATTAGTGTAATAACTTGACATCTATTATACCTATCAAATTCTATTGCAATTAAAATTGCGTTAATAATGACCAATGATACTTGTATTTATTAACAATATAACATAATTCCCTCACTCTATATTTATTTTTTATTATGTATTTTATTTATTATCAAATGTTACTGGTTTTATTAATTTTTTTTTATTCTTTATCACATATAAGTTTTTTTTTTTATTTTTTACCTATTACTTTTCACCATTATTAAGTGATAAGAAATATATTAAATATCTTATGGATTCCGTTGGAAAGCTTAAAATCTTTTTTACTCTATATCATACGTATTATTAGAGTGTGTGATACATCACAATGCTTTAATCAAAAATATTAATATCGAGTTAATATATTTAATGATTTTTATTATTATTATAAGTTTATAGATTTTATATATCATTAAAAAATAAATATAAAAACAACTAAATATTAACAATCTAATTTTCATTCCGAAAGATAAAAAATTTTCACCATAGTACGTGTTTCAATTTTTCGATTCAACTATTGTGATATATCAATTAATATATATTGTAAAAATAAATAGATATATTTACGAAAAAGTGATAACAACAGAATCCAATATGAATAGACAAACGATATTTTTATATATAACATATTACCATTTCTGAATTCGTTCGAGAATTATTTCTCATTTAGTAAACTAATTTTTTTTATAACATAAAATGCAGTGGCTTACCAAGGTCACGCAGTTGAATAAAGTGTTACACTTGCGATGTGTTGATTTGCCATTACTTCAATTATGACATCACGTATGCCATAACAAAAAGTACAACCAAATGGATTTGTTGTGTTTGTAGAAGACGCACGATTCAACACTACAGGACGAGCACTTGCCTTCAATTGCTCACTAATTTTGTCCCATTTTGTATAGGCAGTGATCTAAAAATAAAAAAAAAGACATCAATATTCATATAATATCACTATTAACAATCAGAAATTACTTTAATTATTAGATTGATGTAATCAACGTATCAATCTAACAATTGACTCATTAAATAGAATAAATATTTTACCGTAACTGGAGTTGGACTAACGTCAATAAGTTTGCCAGAATCATTGGAATTATTTTCAGGAGGTAGTGCAAGGGTGAATTCACAACGATGATACATATTAAAATTATAATGCCCTGGATAATTAGTATGTAACACAAATTTTTTAACACAATGGGTTCTTGCGTCAAATAAAACGTCCTAGTGAACAGCAATGAAAAAAAAAGTACATTAGTAGAAGAAACTTTAATTCTAGATATTAATATTAATGTAATAAAAAAGAAATTAATATTTACCATCCCCAGAGTAAAATAATTATAAAAAAAATCTGACCGCCGAGTTCGATCTTTTTTATGAGCATGTGGACTGTGAATCCGCATTTTATCTTCTGCTTTGAAAAACACTCGTGATGGTGCTCCAAGTGCACTCAATACGTCTTCACAGCTATCTCCAAACCATACCTATTGTAAATAAACATAAAATATTAATTAGGTTTAAAAAAAAATTGAATTTATATTTATTTCGGATTATTACCATCATTTAGATTAAATTATTTTGAACTACTAGCATTTTTTGTAACATTTTATCATATCTTCGTTAAAATATTATGTTTTTCAATTAGTATGAGAGTAGAAAATTATTAAACTTCAATATTAAACGTAAAACAAGTTTTATAAGTAAATTTGTATGAATAAACATAAATGAGAATATAAAAAATATCTTTCTATAATAAAGAAAAAAAAGAATGAACACGTGATAATAATAAATTATAATTTTTTTTGGTCTAGACTTATGCAAATAACTTGTATGTAAATTAATTTAATTTACGCTTTTTAATTTCATTAACGTTTAATGAAATGAATTATGAATATAATAAGGTAATACCTCTTTCATAAGATTGTGTCTTCTAGTTTCTACTAGAACCCTTGTAGCAGAACTTCCTTCAGTAAAAAGGTATAGTTTTAAGCCCCGTGTTTTTGTTTTATCTCTGATTACCTCAGCTTTTTCTAAGTATAAATTATTGTGATAACAGACCTGTTAAAACATTCATACATGAATACTTTATTACTTATTGTCGATGATAAAAAAGCTTATATTAATCGATTCTTACCAATGGCAATGGTGGTGGTGGAGCTTTAAGGCAGTGTTCTTCGCTTCCTGATGACCCACCAGACATACTACCGACATATATAGCAGTTTTAGCAACCAACGGTGAAGTCCCGTTTGGAAATTGCAATGATCCAAGTCCATGTGCATAACCAGGTTGAAATTTGGACTCGATTGGAAAATAAAACGATAGTCCTCGAAAGTTTAGTACAAAGACCTATAAAATTTTAATGACAATAATGTATTTAAATTTGTTTACTCATGGAATTAACATTAATAATAAAACATGTACCTGCTTATCACTGTCGTAAACACCAGGATGCGTTGCACCAAATGAATGTTCAATTTGTTCAATTGATGGTAATACTTCAGGTGAATTAAATGGCAAACTACAATATTTGAGTTTCACCAGTTTCATATTATATATTTCAATAATTTTCAGCCTCTGCACGACTGGGTCAAAAATAAGTCGTATTCCATCGTGCGGTAAATTAATAACTAAATCGACTTCTAGTGGATTCTGGAAAGACAAAAAGTTTCAATTAATCAACTGATGAATAACTTCTTCATTTTAAATAACTATTTTTTATCAATAAATTATTGTTAATCATACAAAACTACTGCAATGATGCTTCATACATATTAAGCATAGATAAAAAAATAATAAACTTACAGTATCACTATAAAGAACTTGTACTCCACGAATAATGCCCACTTGTGATTGTATTATCGATACCGATTGAGAAAAATGCATTCCTAAAATAATTAATTAAAAAATTATCAATATTAACTGAATTATTATCATTAGAATTATGATAATAAAATTGAAAAATAAATATATACAGTATCAAAACGACCTTTAACAAATGCACAACTTAATAATAATGTAAAATAAGAAGTATGCATCTTACTCCATTATCTACTTTTTGATATGTACAAACATTTATAACCAAATACATGATATACGTATAATTATACGTATTTTAATAATAACACAAATATACAAAAATGCCATCATCTATCATCGCCATTTAATTATAAACGAATGACGCGAATTCTTTTGGCAGATAAAAAATTTAACAATTACATAATCACGTCATCATAGCAAAGTATTAATGTTGTCACTGTTTATATACATATAATTGTCAACATAAATGTATACAAAAACAAAATATGGAGCGAGTTCGAAGTACATTTCCATTAATAAGTAATAATACACACAATGAAAATGTAAATAAAGTCCTCAAACGATGTTTTGAAAAAATTAGTGTCGGAGATCTCACTTGTAGAAGCATTTCAGAATATTAATTAAAATAGGAAATCAAACTAATATAAGAGAATTAAGGTAATTCAATGCTGTAGTAATACAAATAGTTTCATCACTTGCCTAAAATAAATTCCCACTGTTCACAACCAATGGATCTTTCGGGCACAACTTCGAGCTCCAGCATTATACTTTTTTGATAATTATTATTAATAATGCTTAGCCCGAATGTTCTTGTTAAGTCCTAAGTATTATTCACGCGCGTAATAACGCGACTACGCGCCAAATCAAATTTTTTTTCAACTACTGCGTTGTTTCTTTGTTCTGTAGAGCGGACGTACGAGGCAGGCGCTCAGTGGACAGCCATATTGCCTTTCCTGCCAGTCAACTCCCACTACTATTTCTACGGCTGGTGAACTGTCATTGAACAGCTGATGTCTTCCCCTCTCTACTATTTTATTTCCCACTCTTATACACTTTTACATGGTTTAACCACTGGCAATCAGTTTACTTTACCTTTATTTTTATTTCTTATTTTTTTTTTTTAACATAACCTTCTCACTCCCTCTTGTTATATTCCTCTCACTGTTATCTCATTGTTATGAGATATATATACATATGTACACTCAATGTTTTTGTCAAGGTTCCAAAAAAGATCTTCACTGACTAATTAGTCATTTCATCTACACTATATTGGATAACCTGTTTTATCTATATTGATATTTGTTTGGGTTAAAAGTGATTGTTTACAATTCATCAACTGTTTTAGTTTATGAAAGTAATATTTTGCATTATGCATTGTTTACAAGGTTAAATTATTAATTTTTTTTATATGTATTAAAACTTATATACATGTTGATATTTACATAAGATGTAATATTAATGTATATAATATTAATATCGGTAAAAGTATGACATTGCAAATATTAAACACGATGTATGTTATTGTGTAAGGTTTGATGCTCCGAAAATAACTTCCTGATTCAAAAAATATATTTCACATCAGTTGAACCCTCTCACAGATGTCAATTGCATCATTCAATCGTGAGAAATCTTGATAAAAAAAATTTGTTTATATCTATACATAAATAATAATGTAGACAAACATACACACATACACATGGATATTGGTTTTTTGAGTTATCTTGATAATTCTAGGGTGATAGAGATAACTAAAATTCTAATCCTAACGTCAGGGATGATTTAATCAAATTTCATTTATAAATAAGATTTTTATAAAAAGAATTTTGTAGAAAATACTAAATAATATTTTAGTACACTTGTAATCATTTAACACTGCTTATTTTTTAGTCTGAAAAAATATATGTTATTCTATTTAAGGTCTAGACACTTGAAAAAAAAATTTTTTAAATTAAAATTCAGTAAATTAATATATATTTGGCGAGATTTTTAAATATTCGTCTGATCGTCATAAAATGATGCTATAAATGTTTTTAATAATATTGATTGTACCATATATGTCAATGGATGCATATTTTATTCGATAAAACCACTATTTTTATATAAAATTATATTTCAATATTATGATCATGATGTCTAGCTTGAGACTTATTCTAAAATGTCAAGGTGATTTATCGTATCAAACTCCCTACTAGATAAATAACAGCTATAAGAGTTGATTTATAAATATTTTTAAAAGCTTTATTGTTAAAAAATGATATAAAATGCGTTTAATTAAATTTTTTTATTCTACTACATGAATGTTTATAATTTTTATTCATACAGATTCCTAATTTACCATTTGTTAATACACTTAAATATCTATCTCTTTTTTTTGCATCATCTGAAAATTTACATCTTGACCAAATTTCAAAGGATCAGTGATAATGAAAACATTTATTTATTGCTGAAACAACTTAGGTAAATATATATTCTCCTATATTGAATGAAAATCGTATTCATTACTTTAATTATTGAATCAAATGTTATTTTCATAATTATTCATAGAAACCTACATGTAAATAATATTACTTACTCATTTATTTCATACAATAAAAAAATATGTAAAAAAGATTTTAACTTGATATGATTATTGATAGTTTTTCAAAAAAAAAGCTAAAATTCTATACAAAATATATATTAATGTCATAAATCATCCTAAAACATTTTTGTTTTTAGAAATATTATATAATTTTCATTCCATAACCTATAAGTAATTATTGTCCTTAAATATTCTAGATTAATGGGTGTACTTGTTGGTGTAAAGCGTAATTTGGTATCAGTGATTTTTCCTACTTTGGCTTTTGGATTAATTTACGCTGACTGGTCCTATACACGCCGTTGGAAGGCTAGAAAACTTGAAGAAGGAAACCAACCAAAAGCTGCGTAATGGTGTTGACAGAGAAGCAGCTATTATTAAGACAATTACCCTGGGCAGCCTTGATTATGGTAACATTCGGCTACATTGGTGCACGAATGGATGCTCATGAGAATGAAAGAATGACAAAATTTCGTGACAAATCAGCACTTTATGGAAGAGAATTAAAACCTGGTGAACCTCCTTCCTGGCCATAATTTTTTAGATACATGTTACAATTTATATAATTAAAAATAGAAAAATTGTCATTGTAGCAACATTCAATTGATGGTCAAATACTTGAATTTTAATGAAAATTCATAAAATAAAGCATTTCAGAATGATAAATATTTAAGAAAATTTATTTTAGTATTGATAATAAATTACTATCAATCCTAGTAAAGTTTTATATTTTATCATAATTAATTTTGTTTATTAAATAAGAAAATATTCAAGTTAAATATCCCAAATATAATAAAAAAAATAAATTTATAATAAAGAAATGCTAAACTAGTGGAATAAAAACACGTCATATTGATTCCAATTAAATAACAAATTTTATTAATTACAATATAAATCTATATATAAAGACAGTAATTGGTTGGCAAGATAAAAAAATAATCTATTTAAAATATATTAAATTTCTTTTCTTTAGAAACTTTTTTTTGTACTTCATGGCTTATTTTTAATTGACTTCCATGATTTTCTTTATTGTCAAAGTTCGTTTGTAACATCCTCTTTGCTGTTTGCATATTATAAGCTTGTCTCTTTTTCTGTAGCCATTCATCAGTTGCTTCATTCCACGAAGAAGGTCGATCTTTATTAATTTTTTTATCTTTCTTATTATTTTTCTTTTTCTTCTCATCATTAAGATTCAACGTTGATGCTTTTCTATCATTAGTAATATTCCTTCCTTCAACTTTTTCATTTCCACTTTTATGAACATCAATCAGCCCATAATTTTGAAATTTAACATTTCCATCATAAGATCCAAACACATTATCGTTAATTCGTCTTATTAGCTTTCTTTCTTCATCTTGACTATCTACAATCCTTTCAGACACTGGTCTGGGTCGTCGTTCACTCAGAGTTCTCGTAAAAGCATAAGGTTTTTTAAAAACTTCTGGGTCGAACTTCCTTGATGTAACAACGAACGATGAATCTCCAATGTCAGCAGAAAGAGTGGAGTCTAAATCGTCATAGTGAATTTTAGGTTTACGTTTTATCCTCGTACTATCATAAGCACTTGATCCATGGAAAGAATGTCGATTCGTAAAATGAGAAAATTCACTTTCTATTTTAGTCAGCTGTGGTTGGAGTTCAACGGATGGTTTAGCAGTCATTAAAGAACTTCGTGAATTCGGAGGATTTTTAATATTCTTTTCATTAGCTAAACTAATTCCAGAACCTAAAGATCCATATGATTTCAAAATTTCTTGAGTTACTATTTCTCGAGTTATATTCCCTGTTGATCGTTGATCTGATTTAGAGTAAGACTCCAAACTCTCTAATGAACGAACATGTCCATTAAACTGATGATTAAAAGCATGTAAATTTTTGGACTTTTCTACAAACTTATTATCTGCTTCATGATCATGAATAAGCTCATTACTTTGGGATCGATAACGCCTTGAACATAATTCAACATGTTGCAATTTTTCTTTTATAAGTCTCTCCAATATTCGAAGTTCTTTTTCTTTTCTAAAAAGTAATCTTTCTCTTTCAAATAATAAAGTTTCCTTATCTTTTAATGTTGCTTCTTTAGCCCGTAATTGTTCTAATTTTTTCATCCAATTGACTTCAAATATTTCTTTTGAAATTTCTTCAGGTCTTTTGGTAGTAGTGGTGCATCCATATTTATATCCATGACAACAAAGATCATCATTTAGATTGTCAGACATTTCTTCTCGTTCATCAATAGACATCAAACTGCTTGTTCTTAGAGGAGGTTTAGGAAAATTTTTACTTTTAGATTTTTGTTTGGAAATCATTTGCAACGTAACATATTCACCTGTTTCAAACCGTTCTCTTAATTTTGCAGGTTGCTTAGTTTTATTTCCTTGATATGGCACTTCATAAATTGGTTCTAAATTAATGACATCAGTTTCTTTTTCTTTTTTACTTTCACCATCATCCTTTTTTGCTGAGACTCCTTCATTTCTTAAATGGAAAAACGGTATATCATAAATATGATCTTCATCACCATACAATTCATCACTTTGAATATTTAATTCTAGTTCAGTGTCTTGGTTTTTTTCCATATCGCACTTTACTTCTTCGCTTAAATCAACATCATTAATACGTAGAATAGGTAAACAAACGTTTGAATTTAAATCACATGATTTTTTGATGGCTCCAGTAGATATTTCATTATTATTAGATTCTGTAACCTTTTCACTATTATTTTCAACCTTTTCACATAGTTCAACAGATTTACAAGGTTGTAGTTGTAGATTTGATAAGTCATCGACAATATTATTTGATTTTTTGTCTATTTTTGTTGCTATCGGTAAAATAAAAGCTTCAGATCGAAATATAGGCATCATATTTTTTAACGTAGAATTAATACTGTGATTTGGAAAAAACTTTTTTCACTTGTTTTAAATAAATTGGAAAACACTTTTCTCGTATCGACTTAATGATACGTTAAAATATCACATTATGCTGAGTGTTATATATAAAACGGCGTCTTGTAACGGTTGAAATCGCGAAGAATAACCGTTGTATAGTGGCAACAAAAATGCTACCCACAAAACTAAAATTTGCTTGGTTAAAATGGAGGGGAAAAAACTTGTATAAGGGTCTTGTGACAGGTTGAAAAGCAGGTATAGGATTACCTGCTGATTTCAGCTGTACCTAATCCCCACATTGGAAGCATAGTCAAAGACAAAAATTCTTTTTATATTTAACTGCGGGGGAGTGTAGTTTTTGCGTTTAACGCGGAGTGGCGCCCTTTTGTTCATTTGTAAACATAAATAAATACATAAATAAAAATAAATCAATTAATTTTTAATAATTTATTTTAATTGATTAATTTTTTCAATTTTTATTGAAATTAGAAAAAAAAATGTTACTATATTAATATTCGATTATTTTTTTTCTTGGTAATTGCATAAATAATGATACGATCATACTGCTATTGAACATGGATTAACAAGTTTTCTTTTTGTCAATTGTTCCCTTTGTTCATTTTTATAACTGCGTAAATTTACTTTTGAGTAGTGTGTCTGATGCAGTCCAATCCGATAAACGTGTTAATTATTTAACAATTTCTTCACTAAGACAATTAAAAATTGATTAAATTTTTTTTATCATTTATGAATCGTATCATTCTTCATGCAATGACTCAATGTGATGTAACAAGCTCTCATGGTAGATTTAATTTTTATGGTATATTTCTAGAATATATAGCAATATTTTCTTTTATTAATAAAAAAGATCATTTTTATTACAATATTAAATTATCTAAATTATGATCTATGCATTTCTTACCGATCCTTTGACTATTTTTACATCATCGATTGGTCGATCATTTTTATCTGTTTCAACAAGACCTATTCTTTTAACAATACTCATGCCTGAATGTATTCTTCCTGCAAAATATTCATTAATTTTAATTAATATTAAATTTCTTCTAGTGTGATAGATTTAATGTATTATTCCGTTTTAATTGATTTAAAAATATCACCGAATATTGAGTGTTTGCCATCAAGCCATTGTGTAGATGCTAATGTTATGAAAAATTGTGAACCATTGGTATCTGGTCCCGAGTTTGCCATTGAAACTATTCCAGCACCTATTTTGAGAATTTGGAATCAATTATTGATATTTAAATAAATCAAATTAATACAATTTTAAATGAAACATGTATATTGTTATATTCACCAGTGTGTTTTAAATCATCATGAATCTCATCATTAAAACATTCTCCATAAATTGATACTCCACCCTTACCGGTGCCGGTAGGATCACCACCTTGGATCATAAAATCTCGAATTACTCGATGGAATTTAGTGCCATTGTAATAACCTCTTCGAGCAAGTTCTGCAAAATTTCTGCATGTGTTTGGAGCATGTTTCCAATATAATTCAATAACTATTTCGCCCATGCTAATGAATTGAAATATATCATTTGATATCATACATAATATCTATTAATATCAGTAATAAATTAATATTTACAATATAGATCATAAAAATTATATGACATGTACTTACGTTGTTTCTAAATAAACAAATGGCGGTTGCCAATGTTTATCAGGAATTCCAGAAATAGTTGTTAATGCCATTTTTTTATTTATGTAAAGAGTTTATAAAGAATACAAAGATTGTTTATGATAAACTGAATGTAAACAAAATCAGACTTATATTCAAAACTGAGCTCAAGTCAAAAAATTTCCCGAAGTTGACTTTACGCCCTCGCATTTGAGCGGTGGAATGTCGAAGCTTGATGTCGTAATGCCGAACGAAAGTAAAAGTAGAGGGAGTAAAAGCCGATGAAACCCGAATGCTATTTGTCGGTTACTGCATTGTAGTTGAATAGAGTTGTAAACAACACTTGCTTATAGGTTATAATTATAAAATTGTTAATAATAAAAATAAAAGCACTATACAAGTTGATAAAATATAATAATTTAAAGTAGCATTTAAAAAATTATTACAAATCAATTAGAAATTTTGGAAAAAATTATTACAAGCTTACTATTGAAAATCGCAAATAATTTAATTTTTGATAATTGATAATTCATCAATTAATTTTTGTAAATATGTCAAATACAAAACGAGAGAATGAAAGTGATGATGAATGGATTGGTCCTATGCCATCAGAAGCTGCACCACCAAAAAAGAAACAAAAAGGTTTACACTGGTCTTCATTTATGTTTACTTTTCATTTATTTATGATACATTTTTTATAACATTTTTCTTGTTAAATTTAGCTTTAGAATATGAACAAGTTTATATAGATAATTTACCTTCATGTGAATGTTATGAGAAGTCTTACATGCATACAGATGTCATAACTCATATTGTAATAACAAAGTAAGTACGTCTAGATAGAGTAGAATAAAAATGACACTAATACAAATAAAATCAAATTTAATTCAATATTTTTCAAGGACCAATTTTTTAATAACTGCAAGTTGTAATGGTCATGTAAAGTTTTGGAAGAAACAGGAAGAATTAATTGAATTTGTTAAACATTTTCGTGCTCATCAACAAGATATCAAAGGTTTAGCAGCAAGTTCTGATGGAGTTTATGCTGCTACAATTGGTATTGATAAAGCCCTAAAAGTATTTGATGTTATAAATTTTGGTGAGTTCAGATACATATTCAAAATTCTCTAATTTAACTAAACTATTAACAACAACAATTAAATACATTACAATTTTTATTTATTATAGATATGATCAATATGATGAAATTCGACTATACACCATCATGTGTAGAATGGATTTATGCTCCAGGTGATGCTATATGTGCTATTGCTATTTCTGACCAGAATTCTCCAAAAATATACATTTATGATGGTCAAGGAACTAATCAAATTCTTCATGTATTTGAAAAATTGCATCGAAAGCCCATTGTAGTGATGAAGGTAACAAAACTTAACTGAATGCAATATAAAAGATAAATCATTGGAACTTATAATTATTTTAATTAATGCAGTTCAATCCACCTTTCGAAACATGTATATCGATTGATCAAGATGGAATATTAGAATATTGGACAGGACCGAACAAAGAATATAAATTCCCAAAAGCAGTAACTTTTGAATCCAAATTAGATACTGATTTGTATGAATTTGCCAAAAATAAAACTTATCCTTGCGGTTTAGCATTCTCTCCAGATGGCAAGCGATTTGGTACTTATAGTTATGATCGTAAAGTTCGAATATTCAACTTTTTGACTGGTAAATTATATCGTATTTTTGATGAATCTCTTCAAAGATTTCAAGAATTACAACAACAAACTCAACAACTTCCAAACATGGAATTTAGTAGACGGTAAGATCAATTTTAAATTAAACAAAATAATACTCATGAATAAATAATGATTTAAAAATATGATTAAACAGAATGGCTGTGGAACGAGAATTGGATAAATCACAAATAAATTTAGGTAATATTATTTTTGATGACTCAGGTTACATGGTGATGTACAGTACCATGTTAGGTATAAAAATTGTAAATATATACACCAATAAATGCATTAAAATAATGGGTAAACCAGAAAATCTTCGTCCAATGCAACTGACTCTTTTCCAAGTAATTATATTTAATTAAAATCCTGTATTATATTTTATACTGAATATTAAATATTTTTTATTGTATTTTTAGGGCAAAGCACGACAAACAAATGCAGCAATAACTGTTGAAATGAAAGCTTCAGACAATCCTACATTAGAAATGATAAAACCAGATCCAACGCTATTTTGTACAGCACACAAGAAAAATCGTTTTTACATGTTTACACGACGAGAACCTTTAGATACTAAGAGTACCGAATGTGATAGAGATGTGTTTAATGAAGCACCATCAAAGGAAGATATTATTGCTTCAACGGAAATCAGTAATATGCAGAAAATTTACGATACTGCTATTATTCACACTGCCTTGGGAGATATTCATATAGTATTGTTCGGCAAAGATGTTCCTAAAACAGTGGAGAATTTCTGTGTCCATGCAAAAAATGCCTATTATAACAGCCATATATTCCATCGAGTCATTAAGGGTTTCATGATTCAAACTGGTGATCCTACCGGAACTGGAACAGGCGGTGAGAGTATATGGGGTGGTGAATTTGAAGATGAATTCAAGCCACATTTAAAACATGATCGTCCTTATACACTCAGCATGGCTAATGCTGGACCAAATACCAATGGGAGTCAATTTTTCATCACATTAACACCTACTGTAAGTTTAAATATTAAACCTTTCAATAACCAATGATAAATATATATTTTTATTTTAATATAAATATAATTTTTTAATGATATCTATTTTTTTAGCCATGGTTGGACAATAAACATACAGTTTTTGGACGCGTAGTTAAAGGGATGGAAGTTGTACAAAATATAAGTCAAGTAAAAACCAATCCTAAAACTGACAAGCCATATGATGACATAAGAATAATCAGTATAAGTGTAAAATAATATCTCTTGCATATTTTTTAAATGTATTATAATAATTTTAATTTATTCAACAGACGGTATGAATATTTTCCTATTTTATAAAATAAATCGATGATGAAAAGACTAAAAAATTTACACTTTTTATTCATTCACAGGATTTTTTCTTTGATAATCACTATTGTTAATTAATATAATGAATAAACCATTATTTAGTTATTAATTAGTCTATGAAATTATTTTTGTTGGAAAAACATAGATGAAATAACAGATTACTACGTTGTCAAAGATCGTAGATAATATTATATAAGACCAACTGGGAGAGAAAAAATTAAGAGGTCAAGTGGAACGTAGACAAAAGCCTCTTTGGAAATGATGACGCGGTTCATCGACCATGCACAATAGAAGAAGATTTTTGAAACAACGTTCAAAGAAGACGTGAATTTTTTTTTATACTGTCAATTTTTTATTATTCTCCATCATAAAAGTCAAGTCTTTAAGAATTAAATACATTTCATCTCCAATTTCAAAGAGATGTGATTTATATAATATTATGTTTAATTTTACAAGATAATAACGAATAATATATACACTTTAAAAGACACGTAATTTATATCATAAGGTAAAGAGATTTTCGCAACTTTTAGTTTTTCTCTTGAATCCTAATAAATGTTTAAGAATTCTACATCGGTGTTTGTGTCTAGTTGAAACTGGAAACTTGACGGCTTGATTTTTTTTCCGTTGTGGATTTAGCTGAATTTGAGCTAAAATGCCCACAAGCAATTCATCTACATGATGAGCCAACCCAGAAGATGTTTCGATAAACTTACAACCACAGCTATTAGCAAGACGTCTACCTACTTTTAGAAAAAGTCCATTATTTTTGATAACATGATGAAAATTTTATAAAAAAAAGTAATATCTATTGTATCACTTACTGTCAGATGTTATTTCACGATTTCTCTCGAGATCAACTTTATTTCCAACAAGAATAACTCCATGGGTTGCTGTATAATTATGCTTTAACAAGTACACAAGCGTTTCCTTTGCTACTTCGAAACTTTGTTGATCAACTACTGAATATACAATTACGTAAATATCAGGATTATAAGTGGAACAAAATGTTTCGGCCTTCAAAAAATGAACAAAATTAATCGATAAATATACATATATAGATGTAATTAATACATTGAATAGTTAAACTTACACAAATTTCAGAAGCTGGATGATCAATAATTTCTAGTTCAGTTTCTTGACCATCAATCATAACCGAGACATTCTTCTGGCCATATTCATCATCTAAATAATTATGTAAATGTTAAGTTTTAGATGTAAAATAATAACTAAAGGAATTATTACTATGCCAATTAATTGAAAACATCAGGGGTGGAGTAAAAATAAAATACTTGAATATTGATTCATATTGACATGTATGTTAAATTACGTAGTATTTATTAAACCAATAAGTTTAAAAATAATCACCTAAGGATGTATCATAAGCACAAATGTATTCACTGGTTGTAAATTGTGCAGTGAGGGCTGTCTTGCCGACTCCAGTAGCTCCAAGCATTCCGACTTTGTAAGTCGCTACTTTTCCAGTATTTTCAGCTTCTTCATTTCCAAGACATGAATGTTGAGATATAGAGCTATGTAACAAATATTTATTTATGCAAATTCTATTAAAACGTTATTGATAAAATAATTGTTATATTAATTAGTCTCACAATTAGTTGAAGATTATTTAAAAATTTGAAGAATAAATACAGATAGTTTTATTAATACCTGAAGCTTGTTCCTGATGATGTAACACTATTAATACTCCGACTTCGACGACTTTTAAGAGAATCTCCAAGATTATAGACACCATTAGCCGTAATAGAAAATGATCTTAGTCTATAATACTCAATCCCTTCATTGAGGTCACCTTCTTCAGCATTGGGATTGAAATTACGTCTTGTATCTCCTAACATAGGCTGTTAAATACAAAACTTTATTTATATTTATTTTATATTTTAGAAAATATTAATTATGAAGTTTAGTAATAAATTATTATTTTTAAACAAAGTGGAAAGTGACATATAAAAGACTTTGAAATGAAATATAAAGTAGCTTTCCGATGATGAAAGGTAACAGACGTACTTGATGTCGAGAAACTGTTGGCATACTACTTGTTCTTTTTCGTTTATCTGTTCGTTGAGTTATCGAGAATTTTTCCAAATTTTCAGGGCTTGCGAGAATTGGGTTGAGCAGTTGGAGTGTCGATGATGTTGCACCTGAAGTCGAATTGTTGACTAGTTTTGTCGTATTGATGAATGACGGTGATAAATGACCTCGAAAGTTAGCTTCAGTTTGCAGAAATCTTCAATAAAATAATTCATATTATTTAATTTAACTTCCCATTAGGAAGTTATTATAAAGGAGTCGATTTTTAAAATTCGTAATCTTGTCATATCTTTATTTTTTGAGACATTTAAAAGCATATTAGAAGGTTTAAAAATGTACGTACGTACAAATGTACGTACGTATGTCAGGTTTCTTTTCGATATCTCGAGAACCACTGAAGATATCAACCCCAGACAAATTTCATTTAAAAGATGATACAATAAAGAAGATGTAAAAAGGAGTTTGAACAAATTCAGTTCAGCTATTTTTTATTTATAACAAAAATATTGTAAAATAAGTTGAATATAGAAGACATTTGAAATAGATTCTACTTATTGAGTAATTAATATTATTTAAAATTAAGCTCAATGTCAATACAATATGATTTCTAATGATTCTAAACAATTGTATATTGTTTATAAAAATTTCCATTTGTTACGGACAATTAAAAATGGTTTTGATTTATTGAATGATAATTACTACGATTATGTTCGATAAATTTCAATAAAATGTTGGTTTAAATAACTTAATGTGATTAATAAATTGTATATTGTTTACAACAATAGCAATTCGTTGTAAATAAAATAAAAAAAAAGATTACAAGATTACGAATTTCAATAAATGGGTAATAATTCTCTTCAATGTTAATACTTATGTAAATCCGGTGTAGGTCGAGGAACAGCAATACTAGAGCTTCTTTGTCTTTGTACTGCGGGTGGTTTAGCATTTGCTTCAACAGTTCTTAGTTCTGTTCTTCCATCATTAGTGGATGATGTCTTATGTAATCGAACTTCAATTTCACTATGACGACGTTGAAAAGTTCTTCTTTTAGTCCATCGCTTATAGGAGTTTTTCTCATCCATATTATTTTTCATTTTTCTATAAAATCAAATAAATATAATTGTTTCCAACAATTGAAACGAATAAAAACATTATTTCTCAATTAAATATCAAAAAGAAAAATATCGAATAATATTTAATAAGAGAAAAGGAGTGATAATATTAAATTTTTTTAAAAATAAAATACCTGGGGATAAGTTTATCTTCCAACATATTACATAAATCATCAGTGTCCTCAGACAAGGTAACTAAAAAATCCTGAAAATTTTTAGGAAAACTACTCGGTGGACAGTTGGTTAAAGCTGACTGTGCAGTATTATCTGCAGAACTTGTGTCGCATGAACAAGAGGATTGTTCATTATCTTGATAAAATTTCTCTACTGTTGACATTGCCATATTTACTTTAATTTCAAAATAAATTCAATCATTCAATTCATTATTTTACTAGTCTATTTAAGTAAACAATTTCAATAAAATCGATTATATTTACATTTAATTTATCTCAAAATTTCAAACTTTTTCTAAGTTTTATTTGTTACATTACTTTATTACAATGATTGTACGATAAAAACAATTCTCTGCACATATGTTGATTAATAATAATCATCAATTTATAATCTTATTTAATGTAATTAAGATTAAACAGGTATGAAAAGAAGAATAACAATCGGATTGTAATGAAATTAATACACAAAACAATTAATAAGTCGCGTGCAAGGTAAAAAGTGTTATAAATGTATGCTTTTGTGTGACACTTTTCTGCGGTGGTTGGCAGATGACTGATGAATTTTAGCTTACAAGCTCGCGGAGTTCTTGATACCTATGAAATAATGAAATCGGTAAACCAAGTCTATTTGTCGCTTTCTTGAAACTGCGCAAGCGTATTTTGAATATAAAAAAAAATTATCTAGAAACAGAGGCGTAAAAATCTAGTACCGATGATGATGTATGTAGGGTAAGTAGACTAACATATAGATACAATCTAACAGATGGATGGATGATTAAATTTACAACGACAAACATAGCTTTTTATGGAATAAAGAAATTTAATAAAATTATTAAAATAAATTCTTAAAAAAAAAAAAGCTACTGAGAGATGGAAATAATTTTATTAAAATTAATATAATAAAGTTTTATTATTGTTGATGAAAACCTTATTATAAATTGTAACAAAATATCCTGCAAGTTCTTATTATTTTTTCATTCGTGATAGTTAACATTCTTCCTGAAAAATCAAATGGACATAGAATTTTACACACGAAACCCTTACAACCAATTACTGTACGGGGTTTTATTTTTGATAAAGTTCACGCAAGATATTGCTTTCGATTAAATTAAATAGTACATACACAAGCACACCAACACATATTTGGTATTATTAAATTAGCAAAAGAATATAATATAATACTCAGAAAAAAAAAGGATTATATTGTCTTTGTAGTGACTTGCGTGATGTCAGTCAACTTTTTTCATGGTATCGGTGTACACATATGTTTTTACAAGTACATTGCTCCCTATCGATCGGCAATTTATTTTTAATTACGACTAACTTGATTATTATTATTGCTGTTATTATTATCAATTATAACAATTCATCTCTGAAGAAAAAAAAAATAAATAAGTATTTGACACCGATGCATTGTTCAAACAGTAATTGTTGTTATTATTATTGTAAAATTATAATTTTAATTACACTATTAAAAATAATAGTTATTTAAAAATAAAGCATGATATTAATTGTACAAATAATAGTATAATTTACAACTAAAATATTTCAAGTAATTGTTATTTAAACTGGATATTTAAAAAAAATCATCAAATAGGTTTTTCATAATATAAAAACAATTAGCATTTTTTGTACTTATGTTTATTTGACAAATATGAATTATTAATTACAAATACAAATTATAAACTTTCAGCATGATGTACAATTCTTGTAAGAGTGCTATTATATTTTTTATTGAAAGAATTAATTATTTTAATACACTCAATTGTTTATGATATTTAATATCCCAAATGTTCTTTTCAATGATGCTTACAAAACAATTGTACGATATACACACACGCGCATATATATGTTTCATTTTATAAATTTATTAAATCATTAACATGATAATCATTAGTAATATTTATTCGGAATCTCTTAATCAAATATAGAAAACATCTTGAATACTTTAGTAGTTGGTAAAAAAAAAAAGGAAAATCAATAAAATGCATAACTTAATGAGTTTACAGATGCGTTAGAAAGAAGAATTATTTTTTTTTTTTTTCAACATACACATGTGTGTCGTTAATCGATATTACATGGAATAACATTTTTAATAAAATGCAATTTATCGATAAACTTTAGCCAACGATATACAAATGCCCTTTTTTAATTCCTGAGAATCAAAGAATTATCGCCAAATTAATTAATTATAATTATGCATCAAAATATAAGTTATAATATTTTGTTTATATCTTATGACATAATAATTTTCCCTACATTTAAATTTATTATGAAATTAAATGATTTATCGTTGTTGCTTATTATTATCACTATTGTTATTAGTTTTTTTTTTTAACAATTAATTTTTAATCTAAGTGTCACTACAGTTTTTCTATTTTGGACAATATATCATTTAATTAAGTAATTTAATATCTGTTTAATAATGTCTAAAATACATTTATTTTAACTCAACATTATCACTGATAATCCACTTTTTTAATTTACATATATATACGTATGTGGCCGTACATGTGAAGAACTTACATTTTTAATAATTACAAAAAGATCTTTCGATAATTTAGTATGAATTTTATGCAATAATAATATACCAATATTTTTATTATGTTCTAAAGAAAGTAATTGAAAATAAAATGATATCATTTATATACATGATTACGTGGGAATTATATTATGTCTAACATAAAAAATTATTAACCATAATATTTATGAAAAAATTGGCTTCAAGTTTTTTTTTTTATTTCAATAATTAAATCGTTAATAAATTATTTTAAAATAGTATAGTAGGCCAGCATTTAAATGTAAATATAAATGTCTATAGAATAATTCAATAATACGCAACATCATTTGCATTTTAAGTTTTGATTTAATTCGTTTGCAGGGATCAGGGTTTTTATTCGATTTCTCTTTTATTATTTGACAAACTTCAAGAGTTCGTACTATAATTCGGTGCTCAAACAGAACCTAATGAGGCTCATATCGAAAAAAAAAAAACTAATAAAAAGAAATAAAAATACAATGAAATAAGTGAGATTATAAGACTGTAAATGTCATTAAACTTTTTCATATCTCACTTTATTTTACAATAAAGATCGTAGATATATCAAAAGAAAGGAGAAAACATAGATATTAAAAAATAATAGTAGCAAAAAATATTTATCAGATTGTCAAATGATAGTGATGAGTATAAATATATTTTTTCGTTTTATTATTAGTTGAGTGTAAAAACGAAATAAATTATTTTCACTAAAAAAGTTGCTCTAAAATATGTTTTCATAGTGTAGAATAGAATAGAATATCAAATGTAGTGGAAATTATTTCTGGAATATGCTTTTAGATTAATCGCAATAATGATGACTGTTATAATTCTTTTTTTTTTTTCACTGATCGTTGTTGCGTACATTAGAATTAACGTACATAAACATACAACATGCCCAAGAATTAGATATAATCGTATCTATATGTACGAGTGTATTTGTACAGTAGTATATTATTATGTTTTTTATATATAGCATATGTTTTGTTGAATTCTTAAAAACAAAAGAACTACAAACGCATCTTTGGCTCCCCTCAGTGCATCAGTCGATATTGTTTAGTAATGGTCTGCGTTGTCGTGTACACTGTAACATAAAGTCATTAGTGTAATTAATATAATGTTATATTTATAAAATTATTTATAACAGTAAATAACATATTTATTAGCATAAATTAAAGATTATTTTATATTGTATAGCATGATCAATACGATGATGAAATGAATGGACAACAGCATGGATGATGTGAGTTCCAAAGCACATAGGAGACGTCGACGATTTTTGGGCACCTTTGTAGGATGATTAGTGATTCCTTGTTATCTTTAAAGTAGAACAACAAAATCACTAGTCTTCCATACAACAGAGCTCCATTTACGCACGTCAGATGACAAGATACTTCACTTTTCGTTTTGGATCAAATGGTACTTGATTTCTCACCTTCACTATTGTTGATTAAAAACTGTCATGACATTGATTTGCATAAAAAATGTACATTCATTAGTCTGAAGCATGTAGGATTCGATGATATTAGTATTAAATAGGTATTAATTATATATTAAGAAGTAATAACAATCCATTATTTTTTATTAATAATTAATTTATCAAGCAAAGCTTTGTTAGAAATCATTAACAATATAATATAGCATTAATTATTCTAGAGTTATAAATATAGTTACCTCTGTTGTAACAGGTACTGGGCCATTTGTATTTGATTTGGCGCTCCCGAAATAGTGATTATGCGATCATTACTTCCAGGTAATGGAAGATCTATGGTAATAGAAGCTCCACTATCAGACCTGATTTTTCTGATTCTAGCTCCACCTTTACCAATTATAGCTCCTGCAAGCTAAATAATAAATCATATTTAATATAGCAATCAACATTCGAGAAAATTCTTTTCTTTTTTCTTGAAATCGTATAAAATTACTTACATCTTTAGGAATAGTGACTTGAGTGCTAGTCTTGTTGCCTCCCATATTTCCTTGATTACCTTGATTATTTCCTCCCATTGGTGGTCCACTCATACCTGAATTATTGCCACCTCCGCCGAGTCCATTAGGAGCGTTTCCCTGCATACCCCAGCCACTGTCTACATAAAAAAAAATTTTTCTTTTACTCTTATAATAAAAATATAATTATAAAAGTGATCTAAAAATAAAACCAACTATAATCATGATATATAGTTATACGTGCAAGAATAAATTGTTTAATATATAAATATTATGAAATTATGACTTGTTAGATATAATAAAAAATTACATAATTATTTTATTAACAATCATAGCTATTATAGTTGCATTATTATTACATAAATTATAAAATTTATCTGGTTTATTATTATGAATTTTTAAAGCACCTGCATTTAGTTAGCAACACTATATTTTATTATAATTGAAACTACACGAACTTGATAAAAAAATTAAATCAGAACCGACTAAACCTGTTATTTGAAAGTTTTTTATTTTAGTAAATAATTTCAACTAATTTTTATAGAAGAAATCTATCATAAAATTACCATTATAATTTCCGCCTCCGAATGGTGGTGGTCCACCTCTATTTCCTCCATAGCCACCACCTCTTCCACCATCATAACCTCCACTTCTTGCATTTCCTCCATATCCACGATCTGGAGGTCCACTTGACATTCCACCGCTGTTTCTTGGACCACCTCTTGGTGGTGGTGGAAATCCACGATTCATGTCGGGTGGTCCACCTCTATTATCTCGTCTTGGTGGCATTCCACCTCCGCCACCGCCTCCACGACCACCACCGCCACCATATCCTGGTTTACCACCTTGGCTATCTCTACTTCCATAGCCACCATACTCATCAGCATAATAGTCATCATAGTTGTGTGGATCATAAGGATTATTTATTCCTTTTAGTGGTGACTAATTATAGAAAATACAAAAAATTAAAGATTAATTTTATTAACATTACAAGGAACTCTATTTCGATTTATTTATTAATAAATAAATTAAGTAATATTTACCGTTTTTATTGTAGCAATTAATTCACGAACACATTCCATACATGTTGTTGGTTTTCCACAAATGCTGATAACACGATCGCTACTGTGAGGACAGCAATTCGAATAGATTTTAATCCTAGCTCCTGTTTTCTGTAATGTAAATAGAATTGTTTAGATGAGAATGAGTAATTAAATTGACACAATAAATTATTTTTAATAGTTAATTAACCTATATGCTATTTGTTTCATTACATTACTAACAAGTGTTAGCTTTTTTTTTTTTTTTATTAAAATAATTTGTGATATTTTAAAAAATTAATTCAATAAACTGAAATAAAATGTTCAATAGTAATGTTGGATTTATTATCTTCAAACAAACTGAATCAAGACTAGAACTTTTAACATTTGACAAGAAACAAATTATTAGCATACTTAACACCCCACTATTGATATCACTTTCATTCTATGTTAATCAAGAGTCATTGAATTTTTATAATTTCCTTACGTTGAAATGTGGATGCTCTTAACTTAGTTAACTCAAACAACGACAACTAGTAACACAGTACAGTTAAGGAAATAGTAGACGAGAAAAACAAGAAAATAATTTTATTAGAAAGTTAGAAGTGAAACCCGTTATTTCATTCTCGGTTTCATACAGACATATCTCAAGTTCAAGTGTTAGTCAAAATAAACTTTTCTCATTAGTTAACTTATTTTTCGTCTTTTCACTAAAAAATAGATTAATATATCTATTTAACTAAGGTAATTAAATTATTTTATTACTCACTTTTTTGTTATATTCAATTGAAAAGAATTATATTTAAATCAATATTATTAAATAATATCAAATATTAAATCATAAGATTATGCTACAGCAATAATGAATGAAATTTTTGCATGTCATTGTAGTATCTATTAAAACCTTGTGATAAAAAAGTAATGAGTACTATTTCTTTCGAAAGATTTTGTTATTGAAGATTAAAACTGGGTAATACATCTGATAATCAATAACTACTGTCAGTAATGAATTTTTATTCTAGATTCAAGAGTATTAAAAATCATAATAATTATTCACAATGACAACAGTATACACTAGTGCAGAAGTTGCACGTCATAATAGTGCTAAAGATCTATGGATGATTATTCATGGTGGAGTGTACGATTTAACAAAATTCCTACAAGAACATCCAGGTGGTGAAGAAGTTCTATTAAAGCTTGCTGGAGCTGATGGAACTGAATGCTTTGACGAAATGGGTCATACAACTGAGGCAGTTCAATTACGAGAGACTTTTAAAATAGGAGTTTTAGCAGCTGGAGATAAAGGTGGATCAACTAGTCTAGTATTTGATAAAAAATCACCATCAGTTGATGATGATGATTGGGAATATCAACCACCAGTTAAAGAATCTTCTAATTTAAAGCCACTTTTTATTGGTATTCTTGTTGCTATTTATGCTTTTATATATTATTATTTTCTATAAAATGAATGTAAATTATTGACATTTAATTATTTATCATCAAAGTAGATCAATAAAATACCAAAGTGTATCAAATAAACATGATAAAAAATATTTTGATTAAATAAATCGAATCTTTTTCTAGCTACTACTCTGAATGCATTATATAATTCTTTCAAATATGTATTATACATTAACTATTTTACATATTTTTCTGTTAAAAAAAAAAATAGACAATTAGAAGTGGAAATACCAAAATAACATCGTCATGCTGACGAAGACAATACAGATAGTGAATCATTAATAAAAGTTAAATGATAAACATATATATATATATTTGATTTATAAAAAAAATTTCAAATGTAAGAATTGATAAATGAACTTTAATCAATTATTTTATCAAATTTCTATTCATTCTGATCAATAATGTCAACAAAGTTCCAAAAAGTAAAGTAGATAATTATATGTAATCTTCTTTTACTTGTCAATTTATCAAATGATATTAACAAATTATCATTCCATTTATCAATAAAATTTTGATCTAATTACTTATAGGTATATACTCACTATAGTTTTAAATATTAGAATGAATTTTGAATAAAATTAGTTAAATTTTAAAACAAATATCCATCAACATGATAATCTTTTAAGAATTGTATATAATGTATTCATTTATTTAATCAGTCGTAGTATGATATGGTAGAATTTATCCTCAATGTGAACATAAGATTGGAATACACAGAGTGGGACCGTTGAGAGTGAGTATACACAGTGAAAGAAGAGGGGATCCATAAATATTGTGTGCTAACAGACTATGTACCACGACATTTTATCGTGCGTATAAGTTATTGGATTCACTCGATATATCGTTATTTGTGTGTTAAATAAACTACATATGTCTTTATACTGATTAATTATTCTACACGTTTCCAAGAATTTGATTCTATAAATAATTATTTGATTTGTATTAATCAAACATCAACTGGCAGTATTATCATCTTTAAAACATTCGGTAAGTGAACAGGTTAACACCAGTAGGATTGATGGAAGAATAAACTATTTATATTTATTTTTATGAATATGTTAATTAAATTGTAAAAGAACACACTTTTGATTCACATGCATTAAAACAATGCTAGTGTATGTTCAATTAAAAAATGGTGATAATAATGATGATGATGATGATACCTGTAGCAAGTCTTGTATGTTAATGTGAGAACAATTTCAATTGTTAAGTAGATAATGGAAAAAGAACAATTTTATTTCGATCAATAAAACAAATTTTTTCTTTGTTTGGATAATTTTTAACTACTTTATATATTATCAAACTATGTTTTCAATTAAGTTACTTCACAAGAAGGAAAAAAAATAACCAGTAGTGTACCTACATTTTACATGATTTTTTACTGAATATTATACTAAGTGCATTGTCATCATCGACTGATATATTATTAAGTGATCATAATGATTAAAAAATTATCAATGCCAGAATATGAATTTAATAAATATTATTGATGATAGATTTTGCTTATAGTGATGTTTGATTGAAGGATAAAATATCCCTAGATTTATATAAATAAATATTTTTAAAATCAATAATGATAATATAAAATTCTACATTTCTTAAGTGCAAAAATACAGATGGACTAAGAACGATGCGCACGCGTTATACATGGCCTTATCATCATCATATCCTGGGCATACATATCTTGAAATTTCAATGACGATAAATACGAATTACGCAATTCCATTTGTTATTTATACCATTCGAAGCATTGACTTTATTTTGTATTATTATTGAAAAAAAAAAGCAGTCAAAAATTATCGTATATCTATTTAAAAATTGACCTTTATCGCCATTATAATATAAATAACAATAATAATAATAACACTGTATTATTATTTATAGATTAATCTGTTCTTTTAATCATACAGAAAAGCATGACTGAACTAAAGCAATTTACAAGGAAAGAAGTTGCCGAGACTGACCGAAAATTCACAAGAATAATTATTCACGACAAAGTCTATGATGTTACACAATTTCTTAATGAACATCCAGGTGGTGAGGAAGTTCTTCTTGATCATAAGGGTGTAGATGCATCAGAAGATTTTGATGATGTTGGTCATTCAGCTGATGCTCATGAATTAATGAAAAAATATATGGTTGGTGAAATAATTGATGCAGAAAAAAAGCACAGCCAACCGAAAAAAGGTTGGGTTGCTGGCCAAGAAAAACATGAAGAAGCACCTAAATCTTCATTCACTATGTATGCTGTTGTTGGTATTATTGCAGCATTATTATTTGCTTTATGGTATATGTAACACGAGTCTGTTATTTATATTATAATTGTTTTTTAAAATAGCACAAGTTTGACTTATTTGTAATTTAAAATATTTTTTTTTATAAATTTATGCATAATAATAACATTAAATTACTAAATACAATCAATAATTTTTGAACGTTATAAAATTGTTGATCAATTCATTAATTAAATATTTTCAATAAAGGAATTTGTTAATAAAAAAAAATCTTATTTAAAAATTAAAAATAATTTAGATGAAGGTATGAATATGTGTATAAGTGTAAATGTAGACTTACCTAATATATATAAAATAAATAATAATATCCAAGTATTTATAATATTAATAGTTCAATCAAAAACTGTATTTCAAGCATAACAAGATCAAACTAAATCGCGAGAATCAAGTGTTCACATGACTGATCTAATGTTAACTGACTCGATGTTCTCGTGTATTGCTCTTGTTGTAAACTCAACGCACCCTTGAGCCTGTTTTCTCTTTTGGGCTTGACCATACAGAGAGGGAGAAAAGGCGGGAGAAAAAGTTGATGCTTAATTGAACCAGCACCAGTTGTCGAAACTCGAATTATGATAAAACTATAATTATTTCTTGAATTTTATATTCACTTATTTATTATTAACCCTCTTTACTTCCTATAATTATTTTCTTTTTTAAATAACTAATGTCTAAAAATCAAGTAATAAATGAATTAGAAAAAAAATAAAGAAGCTTTTTGTAAATGGGAAAAAGAAAACTGTATGAAAAATTCCTAGAATTATGAGGAAAAAATATTTTTGAAAATTCCAAAAGTTTCTGTATTTTATTGAAAAGAAGACGTTGAGTTGAAGCTTGTAAGCAGACATTTGTGCACCTGGTGTAGCAGCTGTTAATGCATGTACGTTACCTAGCCCAGCACCTGTTTTAGGTTGCATGTCATACAGTCGAACTCCCATAGCAACACATGTCGCCAAAAGGAAATTCAGGAGCCTCCCTCATATTATAAAAGTATTCTCTGTATATTAGCACATGCTTTTTCTTTGTTACTTTTCTAAACCTTTCATCCTTTTTTTTTCGTTATTGTTATTATTGTTTTGCATTATAATTATAATCACTAGTTACTCCATAAAAGGGAAAATAATAAAATAGCCTAGATAATGGAAACAAAAATTTCAATAAAAAAACTGACAAATTTATGTCATATAGAATTAAATGGCTAATGAATGAACAGCTAAATTCATTGACTAAAATTAAATTAATAAACAATTTAATTTTAATTTATTTAAATAAATTCAGTATTTTCACTATCGGACGTTGAAATATTCAAATATGACAAAAGTACTGAGTTAAATTATTGTTAAAAGATTTAAATATTAAAAGAATTCGAAAGTAGATCAATTAAATTCAATGATCTCGAAAAGTGCATAGCAGAACTAGATAAAGAACTTTAATAATTACTTCAGAAATACAATCCATCTTCAAAAAAAAAAGATGAAAAATTGTCATCAAGAGACTAGTTGGTTTCTATATTTCTTAAATGGCTTGTTTTAAGAATAAAATTAAATTTAGTGAAAATTCACGATGATGTACAGGAAATGAATAAGAGTGCAAGAGACAACAATATCGTGAGAGGAATCAATAAAGTCTCTACTAGACGCGACCTCGAACTGAAGTAATATAAAGCAGTTTGGAGACGTCGCTGAGTGGTGGTGCCACGTCTTTCCATTCTCAGTTCCCCTTCACAACTGACATGCCTGCTCAGCTACTCTTATGCATTCAGGATTTACTCGTGGAAAAGTCGATAAACGCGCTCATCATGTTTCTTCTTTATATTCGCATTTTATTCTATGACCTACCTCACACGTCATTAATATTCATATGTAACAATTAAATTATAAGAAATGATAATCTAACAAATCTTTCAGTTTATTGATTTAATTATATTATTAATTAAATAGAAAAGCAGGCTGTCTAATTGTTGCTTTTATTAATATAGTGTGAATTGAATTTAAAAATAAATCAATTAAGTACTTACCTCACGAAGCTCTTTAATTTTTAAGCCACCCTTTCCAATAACACATCCAGCTTGACTTTGATGAACAAGCATACGAATATCAATTTCATCACTTCCATGTTTAGTTCCATTCTAAAAATTGAAATCAATTATCGACATTAGTTTATTTCTATTAGCTTGAATTTTAATAATAAATTGTTGATAATAATAAAATAAATAATTACCTCTTCAAGATTGGGCACAACTTTATTAAGAACCTGAAGAACAGTATCCAAATCCGAACTGATGGTAAGAACTCTAAAAACAAAGAAAAATTCAATGATAATCTTATATTTACAAATAAAGTTCACAATGTAAAATATATTTATATTTATTAAAGATGATTATTATTGTTATCTAATTGAAATAAGTTAGCATTTCTTCATTTCTTATTGAAAAATTAATAAACCTTTAGGAAGGTAAACCTGTTAAAGATGAACCCATCAAATGTTTTTAATAACATTTTTATGATCAAAAAATTTAATTCAACATGAATTTTTTTTTTTTTTTTTTTACTAATACTCCAAACCTTTGGTTTTGTTTTAAAAAAAAAAAAATTGATAATTAAATTTATTAGCATCATTCTATACATGAATATGATGCATAGTAAAATAATATTATTATAGTTAATTGAAATTCAATTATAAATAATTGTTATGATAATGAGTTATTTGTATATATTACTTTAGCTATTAATTAATAACTGAAACTTTGTATTAAATATTGTCATTGGATCGGCTAGAACGATAAATATAATCACTTTGAGTAAATATTTAGGAGATGATAATAGTGCTAATAAGATGTATACAGCTTGCAATGATTAATAATAGTAATATTAATTATAATAATGATAATAATAATAATAATTGATCATTTATACTGGAGTTGCGATGAGGTAGTTTTCTTTCATATTTTGTATGTGTTAAAATTGGTGTATTTTGGCTGGGTCCTGTGTACCTTGAATGATGTCATTTCCACTCTAAGGATCTGCAAAAAAATTTCCTCAACGCGACACACACATTTTTTTTATCGTCGTACTCTTTCAAATTTTTTAAATTTGATCAATAATTATATCAAATCAAGCGTCACGATATTGGTACTATGTACTTAGTCATGAAATTGAAATGAATTCAAACACTAAAAGTATAAAAGAAATGTAAATAAATAAATAAATAGTTATAATTAAGATATTAATTAATATTAATAAAGTTTTTAAAATGGTTTAGATCAAGTACCAGAGTTAAAAAGTCATTCAATTATTTTCAAATAAATTATCGTGAAAATGTAAAATGACTTCAACAATAAAATAATAAAATTATTATAAACTCAATTAATATTTTAATAATAATAATTAAAAAAAAACAATTGAATAATTTAGAAATCTCTTTATAAGAATAAAAATAAATGATAGCTTGATAATTATTATAGATAGTTAATATTTATAAATTATTTTTCTAAAATTAATACACTACGTTACTCCCATAAAATGTTACATACTTTAAAATATGAACTTATATTTATTAGATTAGACATGTTATATGAATGATATAACAAAGTAATTGTTGATGATTGTAATGATAAATTGAATAAATATTATGATGAATTTATGATGAACAAGTAATGAATGAATAAAAGTATATTAAAGAAGCTAGAAATAGATAATGTAGAAGCAGAAGGAAAGAAGATATAAATGAAATTAAAAAGTTTTTGTAAAAAAAAAAAAAAATGATGAGTTAGGAACCCTAAATCTGAATGGTATCGTAATTAAAGACAACGAAGAGAGTATTAAGACATTAATTAGTTGGTATTTGGCATTACCGTTCGGGTCCGGGGCAATCGGGTACAATGATTGAGGCTTTGTACTGTTGGGCCGTGATGGTTGGTGGTTCATTGGTGGTTGGTTGTTGTCGATTGTTGGTGGGGTAGTTGGTGGTCCACACAATTGCCGATCGCGCGTTGGGGTCCGTCGTTCCGGGCAGGGCAACCGGCAGGGCAACGACGAACAAGACAACGCCAGGGCAACACCAGGGGGGCAACGCCGGGGTTGGGGCAGGGCCAGGGCACAAACCATTAACCAAGTTAGACCTCACAATATTTTTGTGTTACTCTTCAATATCGAGACTAATGTTTCGATATTGTTATTAGATTTAAACTTTCTTTTATCCTTTTTATAAATAATTATTTAACCTTCTTTAGTGCCTTATGCCCTTATGCTATTCTCTAGAGTCTAGACTAGAGTTTAGGGTGTCTTGACGTCGCGACAACGACGACGACTACCATTTTTCTAAATACTTATCATCAACATCACCTTAAATCTATATTTTTTTCTCATTTAAATTTATTTATTATTAATTATTCATTGATAATAGGTATTTTTCATTTATCATTTTAAATGATTCATTTATGATAACACTAATATTCAAATGGTTAGTGACTTCTACTTATTTTGTAGAGAATAAATAAGAGTACAAGGTGACGTGTTTTAATATTACTATTTTTTTTTTTTTAAATATCTTATTATCTTTGATTGATATCGGCATTTTTTTTTACTTTATTTATGCTATTTAGATTTATTTGTGTATTAATGTTGTAAATTAATAATTGTTCAAAATTGATTGTATATTTATAAATTATTTCACGGTTGAAAATAATTATTTTACTAATTAAATACTCTAATTGTTGAAAAAATTAATATTAAAATGGTAAATTTGATAAAAATAATTTTCTTTTGTATTTATTTTTAATTAAATAAAAGTACGAAGTTAAAAAAATAATGCCGAACAAAATACAATAAATAAATAAATTATTTCACTGTTTGTAATTGAAAAAGTTTAGTATTGAATAAAATGAATTTTTTTTTTTTTTTTGAAAATATTCCTTTGATTTAGAAATCAAGAAAAGCATACCTGACTACGAAGATTTGTTATATTTTGTCCCCCTTTTCCAATAATGGATCCAGCAACCTGAAATAAAAATAATTAATTAGTCTATTTTCAAATAATCATCATATCATAAATTAATGTCTGCTAAAGTTTGTACTTACTTTACTTGGAATAAGAAGTCGCAGTTCATCATCACCTTGACGATAACGTTTATGGGGGGTCATTGGACCCCCGCCCATCGCGTCAGCTTCTCTCTTCATTATGTCTGAAACAAATTGAATTAATTATTATTTGGAATTTTCTTTTTATAGAAATGTTTTTAATTAACAATTAAAGACCTCGCTATAAAAGTTTAGGGTCAGTAATTATATTAAGTTTTCATTACTTTCAAACTTTATAACTCCAAACATTATATTGAATATTTTTTAAATATATTTAATTAAATTAATCTTTTTTATTATTATTTTAATTTATAAACAATTAATATTAATTAATGTTTTATCTTTTTGTACTTTTTAAAAGTTAATAATGTTAAATTTATTTCAATATTTATTAAAAATATAAAATAGATATTATAAATAATTGATTGAAAATTACACAAAAGTAAAATTTAACGTGGAAAAATACTAAGAGCGATTGTTATTAAGTTCGTGACATAAGGGTGGCGTGTCTGAAATGAGTGTATTTGATAAGGTAGACTGTAGGGGTGAGTTTAGACAATGAATTGCGACAACCGATGAGTGAAAAAAAAAATGCAAAATGGGATAAAAAACGAATTGATGGAAACATAGAAAAGAGAAGGGCAAAACAAGTCGCCAACTAGTCTAGGGATATATAAGCGTGAGGCGCCATCAAGTCGTGTTTGAATAATATACAGAAAAAAGAGATGTGGCGTCACATGCAATGCATACCTATACTGTAATTACTTAAATCAATATGTGATTTTTCGGATTTATTATTTATTTTATTATATTAATGGAATATTTTATTTTCATATTAATGTTAACTCCATTTGTTATAAAAAAATCATAAAGCTTTATTATCTTTCAATCTGTTAATTATGAACTAATATATTTGTCTTTGGCATTATGTGACCTAAGCTTAGAATTAATTCTATTGAGTCTGTTTTTCTTTAAATAAATAAATAATTAAGTAAAGTATAATTAATAAATATGGTTATAAGAAATAGTCATTTTTTTTAATTAAAAAAAAAATATGTATGGAAAAAACTAGACAAATAAGTATTTAAAATAAATAACTTTTTCCATATAAAATATTTCTTATTTAACTTTTGTGGTTTTTTTTTGTTTCTTGCTGTTTTATTTTTTTTTATGTATCCGTGGTCCTAGTTTGGCTTATATTGTTGGGCGTGAGCAATTGTTTAAAATAAATAAATTAATATAAATAAAATTTATCAAGTAAACAATTTATAATTTTTTTATACTAAATTTAAACAGCCTATTTATTGATTTATTTTTTTAATACAAACTTATTGCTGTATTATTTCTTTCTCATGCTAATATTATTATTACCGATCTGTGGCCTTTGTCTGGCTTTGCTGTTGGGCCTATGTAAATGTTTAATAAATAAATAAATAATAAACAACTTCATTAACAACATAAATTTAATAACTACTATTAAAGAAATAAAATTGAAAGTTTAGTTCAAAATATCGACCAACTTTGTCAATCAATTATTTAAGCATATAGTAATTAAGTAAACAATCATGTTAATTATTTTAAAATAACTTTAGTTAATAATTAACTTGTATGAAATGAATATTAATGTAATTGACTTAATTAAAAATTAAATATAATAAATTAATTTTTATATATGAACTCTAACCTATTATAAAGATTATTGTATCTCATTAATTCAAGTGAACTCAATCGAAGAAATTAAAGTTTTAAATAAAATCCACTTAAAATTAATATAAACAACAGAGATGTATTGCATGTATTGGATAAATTCCATGTATAAATAAATCTATCAATTATACAGAGTACCTTGCTAAACACACTCACTTGAAATTACTTCATTCATAAAATTTAGTCTTTTACACACAATTGTGCTATTTTTTCCCCTGATATAAAGTGAGATAAAAATTTTTATCTTTACTTGAAATAAAGTGTTGAAACTTACCAGCAATGGTGCTTGCTTTTCTCTACCGTCAAAAATCAATCCGTCAACCCTAAAAAATAACAAAAAAATTATTTCAATATTAACGAATATTTTTATTTAAAATTTTCATCAAATTATTAATAATAAAAACAAAAAATACTAAAGATAATTGAAGGATTAATGATGCAAAAAAATTATATTTAATCTAAACATTCAATATTTCATAAATATTATCTATTTAACAGGAAGTTTTACGTAAGATGAGAATGGTTTCATTGAAATTGAAAATTTGAATGTATATCATCTATCTATGCAACGAATCAACATGAATAGAAATTAATAGGTTTTAGATCATCAAATATCTAGATCAATCATAATCTAGTCTGTTCCATTATTTATACAGCATTAATGAAAAATCCAATTCTTTACATCCTTTCTTTCTCTTTTGCTCTGAAATGATAACTAATCAGTAAATTTATTTATTCTTCAAAGAAAAAAAAGGTTATAACAATAATACTAAAACACTACTAAATCATCTTGTTTCATTTTCCATAAAATTTTAAAAATGACACTCGAATTTTTGAATATTGTATAAAAAGAAAGTATTTCATCACAATAATCTATATCATTTATTAGTATAAAATCCAGGTATGAAGAAATTGTTTGAATAAAATAATATTCTGTTGTATAAATCAATAAATAAAATTTTGGAAAGAGTCTCAAATTAATTAATTAAATACTTTTATCTTACAAGAGGGGTACCAAGGTTATGACTCATGGATTTCGTCCAATTTTACTGATGTTGTAGGAAAGTGTTTCATCAATACATACGCAAAGCAGCAAAATGCCACTTGTAATAATTAACAATAATTAAGTGTATTAAAAATTGAGATTAGAAATAATTTAATGATCTATTAACAATCAGTTCTATATCAAAGTACTGTGTAGTTGTGTTAAATAAACCAAAAGAGGTTGACTAGTGTCAGAAGATGTTAATAAAAATTTAAAAAAAAGTCAAAGTTTTCTTTTCCTCATTCTCAACTTTTCTGTAATACTATCAGATTACAAAGATAATGGATTTGCTCATTTTTCGACGAATAACAAGATGAGACAATCAATATAAAAAAAAAAATCAAAACATTAAGATGAAAATAAATTTCCTTCATATTACTATGTCATCTTATCAATAATTTAGAAGCAATAAATTTGAAATGATTTTCAAATAATATTCAATGAATACAAAACAATTAGTTCTCTTTTAATGAAACAAAAAAAAAAATATTTTTGATGATTAAAATAAATGATTGAAATCAGTGTATAATGAAATGGCACAGGATGATGATAATCGATCATAATATCTGATTGATATAAAGAAAAAAAGAATATATATTTTATTACGATTAAAATACGTGGTTGACTGAATTACCGCAGTGCGGTGATAGTGGTAAAGCCAAAGTATCAGTAGAGGTTATACAGGTAGAGGTATAAGCTCACTCACCAAAGCACTTTAAATCTCTTACAACATTATCAAATAACTATATTTTCTCTTGAATTTGAACAATGATTAATTCTAATATTTTATCAATTCACAGTCTACTCAATAAATTCACTTACAAGTGAATAAAAATATCTACTTATTTAAATTTCATATAAAACACGTATAAATGCAAATAGATAAGCTCTTTTGAGATACTAAAGATGAATTATGAAGGGTATTTTCCAGTTGAACACGTTAAAATATACATGACTAAATGTAACGCGCGCGTATTATACTGATAGACATATTGATCAGCTGATGATCTGGTGAATACTGAACCACTTCGAGGAAATCGTGGAATTCACCCCTTATTGTGTTATGCTACACGCATGCGCATTACTTCGTCTAACATTTACCGACCTCATTGCTCTCAACTGACTTTCTACATATCTGTTTTTCTTCATTGCTTACACAATTTGTCAATAATAATTGATTTAAATAAAAGAAAAAGACAGAAAAAAAACATCAACTTATTTTTCATATAAAAATTATATCATTCTTATGACAATTGACAAGAAAAAAAATATCAAGACTTTAATGCAATGTTATATCTTTTTTTTTTATTCATCATATTTCAAAACAGTTATGTAAAGAATCATAAATTGATAAAACTGTCAATTTTAAAAGTATAATAAATATACGATTAATTATTACAAATTGTACAGATGAAGAAAATAAATAAAAGACAGTCATAGAAGGAGGATAAAAAATTTAATTAATGCGCATCGACTTACCAATTCCGAAGGTATGTTTTCTCTGGTTGAAGAAAAACCTCTGGCGATTATTTTATTTGCAATTTTCTTAAATACTTATTTAAACAATTTTTTTTTTCTCTTCAGCGTGAACGCGTCTTGAACTTGAACAGTTAATTTTATTCCTGCAAACAAACGAGGCGCGAAATCCGTTAGAAATGTATTATTCGTTGCACTTTCTAAACAGGTATCAGAACTTGCGTATTAGATCTTGTGACAATTAACTTTTACGGAATAAGGAAAAAAAAAAATGTATAACAATATGACAAACTTAAATATATATTTAATTTCCTTTTTTTTTGGAATTTATTTTAATAAAAAATATTATTATTATTAATTTATTAAAAAATAAAAACAGAAAAAATTTGCCAATGTTTGTTTATATAAAGAAGTGAAAGATTTGTTAACAGTTAAATGATCCATACATCAACTAAAGTTCTGTTTATAAAACTATCTCTAATGAATAAAAGTGCTAATGAATGTGCTAACTATATTCAAAGATGAATGATATTAAAAGTGAGATAAATAGTTGTAAAAATCATTGAAGCAATAGCAAGTTTTTCTTACAGAAAAAAAGAAATCCAACATGAAATGAAAGATATACACAGGGTAAAGTGACGCGTAATCACAAAGGAAATAGAACAAGTAAAGATGAAGAAGTCACGTATGAAGAAAGAAAGACGATTTTGTCTCGAGTTCTTCACTTGTTGTGATCCACGACCCGTTTGTGGGTCTAAATGGCCTCGAACTGGTCTCTTATCCCTTAGATCGCCCAATCAAAAAACCGGCAGCAAAATGAACGTTTATTGGTCAACTTACGGCCACCCTAGAAGCTCGGATTGGACAAACTCAATATCACCCTGGGTTACCATTTACATCAACAATCTAAACGGTCGATATTATTATACTTGTTTTACGTGTCCTCAACTTTATATTTGCTATACTTGATACACGCTGTTAAACTTTAGGATGTGCAAGGGCGAAAGTAAAGATGAGGTGAAAACAAAAGGCTCCAAGGAATAAGCCAAAGTTTATTTTCAATAATTATCTCTAATCAAATCTAAAAAAGAAACAGGTCTCGATGAACTTCCCATTCATTGAAATCTGTTATTTTACCATCTTTTGATTTTTTTGTTTACAACAAATTGCTATTGTTATAAACAATATATAATTATTTAGAATCATTAGCAACCATATAATATTAATATTGAGTTCAGTTTCCAAAAATATTAATTACTCAATAAGTAGAATCTATTTCAAATGTCTTCTATATTCAACTTATTTTACAATATTTTTGTTATAAATAAACAATAGCTGGACTGAATTTGTTTAAACTCTTTTTCACATCTTCTTTATTGTATCATCTTTCAAATGAAATTTATCTGGGGTTGATATCTTCAGTGGTTCTCGAGATATCGAAAAAAAACCTGACACACGTACGTTCAAATGTACGTACGTACATTTTTAAACCTTCTAATATGCTTGTTAAATGTCTCAAAACGTAAAGATATGACAAATTTATGAATTGTAAAAATCAATCACTTCTTAATGCGAATTTGTTAATTATAAACCATAAAAAAGGGTGTTGACCTTTGGGACCAGACTGATAATTTTGTTAGGAAAAATGACATTAGACTTTAATGCTTCCCTGAATGTTCAAGAAACCGACACATCTTTCGGTGATTATGATTTGAATTATGATGATAAATTGATTCCTTTTTTAGTTTTCAAAAAAAAATTTTAAAAAATGAAATGACATTATTAAGGAAATCTATGAGTATAATAAAAGATGTAAATGAAATGGAGACGTCATTGTGAAGGATTTTGCAATTTGTCAGGAAAAAAGATTTTCAAACCATTCAAATGAATGTACACAATAATAATCGTTGAAAGATTTAATAGCATTAGTTATTTGATACTATCAATAATGTCAACTGAATTAATTTCTCGATAAAATTTGAAAAAATTTATTAGCTGTAATTTTTTTTATTTTTTGATGAAACTATAAAACTGTTATATTTACTTTATTACATGAATATTTAATAAAAATTCTACTTTCAAGTTTTAGAATAATTATTTTCCTATGAATAGAAAATAGATTATTTATCATTTCAAACTGAAACTAGAATTCTACTGATTGAGAATAAAATATGAGCATAGTTTTATTTATTTATCTAGTACAGAAAATAATAAATGCTATTTTTTGAAGGATAAATTCAAGAAAAATAGTTTGAATTTTATTTACTTGAGTTACCTACCATCAACAAATTTATCAATTATTATGTTGTATTTCTTTACTTTTGCATTGTTGAAGCTTTGACAAGTCTTTATTGATTATCAGGGGATTAGATAATTTCAAAAAAAAAAAAAATTTACTACATAAAAAAATAAGTAAAAAGTTGAAAATATGTTGAATTAATAAGAAGAAGAAAGAAAAGTATCCTTTGAATACCTGTACCAAAAACTCAAGACACACTTTGAATTTGAGAAGCCTCTTTAGTTTTGTTTTTTTTATCTCTTATGAACTCATTCATTCTTATCTCGAAAATTAGAATTTTTTTGTTCTAAATCTAGACCACAAATAGATTTTTTTTATTATTCAAATTAATTTTGGAGTAAAAAAAAATGACAAATTATTAAATCAATCAGTTAAGAACTAAAGAAATACGACATTGGTTTCAAATATTTTTTTTTTTTTTTACATTTTTCGATAATTAATATGACTATTATTTATACTGAATAATCAGTCTAGAATTTAAAAAGAATGTTCGAATTATTAGGAATGAAAAATTAATTTTATCAGTTACTTTACAATAAATAAATTGAAATAAAAAATGAAGTTATATTTTTTCCATTTTACAGAGGGTAAATATAAAAGAAAAAAATTCACTGTAAAAATTTGTAATTTAAAGCAAAAATTACTTAGAAACTTCACGAAGAGTTTTTTTCATTAAAACTCATTTTTTTCAGCTTCATAATATAAAAATAAAAACCAAATGAGAACAAGATGGTTTCTAAAAGTAAGACAATTTTTAAAAAATTTCAACTTATTTTTGTATTTAAAAAAAAAAAACTGTTAGTTACTATCTTTTCTATGGTATTAATAATTTTTAAAATAAATTATACAAGCTAAGCTAAAAAAAAAAGCTTCAATTGAAACAAATCTAAAAGTATTTATAGAAATGCAATTGTGTCCCGGTTTCCATGCCTAAAACTATAACTTACCTAGAATAAAAAAAAATTTCCTATAATATTTAGAAATGGAGGTCTCAAGCTAAGCATAATATATTCGATATATACAAAATATATAGCATGTAAATCTTGAGATATTATAAAAGACCATTAATATTTTAGAGTGATACGTTCGACCATTGATCGATGTCTTTACCTACATAATTGATACTTTACGGCTGGTTTACGTGGTTGTGCATTCTTCGACCGCAATACACCATCTAATAATCCATCTAAAATAATGGCAAAATTGTCTACCTATAGATATAATGAATACTTTCTAGAAGGATAATTTTCAACTATCGACGATTATTCAACTTTTTATGTAATTTCTATATGCCATTCTTAATTATATTAAAAAAGAAAAGAATAATTCTAAAGCCAACAAAAAGTAATTGAACATTAGACAAAGCATCTTGCAATAGAAGTGATGAGAGTACTTGTAATACTCGTATGAGTAGTAACTGCAGGCATCAAAAAAGCTTGGCAGCAGTTGTTGAGGGTGGAAACTTTGAGCGAGGGTTTCTCTCTGCAATTACGTGGCGAGCGACGTGCGAAGATAGACATGAAGAAGGGGAGAGGTAGTATGTAAAGACCAGTAGAATACGTAAGACCATGTAGGGGAGAAACGTAAAAGGAGATACCGTTTCGCGAGAGAATAGTAAACTACTGTGGGGACAACGCATCTGTCCGAGCATATTTAATGATTGTTATATAGTGAATCTAAAATTTTTATTGCAAAGCTGACTGGTTATTTAAACTTTTTCTTTCCATTTATTTTATGAAAGAATATTTTATTATAAAACATATTATATCTATGCCTAATATGATTATTCATATTTCAAAGGTAGTTTTATAACTGAAACTTTTAAACTAACTTTTTTTTTATTCATTTATTTATTTATAAATATTTGTTGCTTTGAATATAAAACCGAATAATTAATATTGAGCTCAATATTAATCCTTTGAAGATTAATGTAACATTTTCTTAATAAATTAACAATAATAACGGCATGATTAATATAATGACAACAAGCAATAATTGATAATAATAGTGACAATTTAAAAGTAATAAAAATAATTAATTTATAATTATTCATTATTATTAGAATATATTACGCGCATAAATTGCGTGACGATGATTAAATGATAATTTAAATTTTTTAATTAATAACGAAAAAGTCATTCGATTATTGACCAACTTCATATGTCATGTAAATTCATAAATAAAATTAATATTTAACCATTTAAATATTTTCAAATTTCAAAAAATACATGTTTTTCATATGC